TCGCTTCATGATCTCGCCCTTTAGTTTACGCACAGCGTCATTACCCCCGAAGCTCTCACTTGGTACGTGCGAATACGTGGTTAAGACCTTGTGAGCTAAAACTCGAACAAATTGATACAACGATGCAGCAGACCTTCGGCGATTTGTTCGTGACTTGCCCGACAGTTGTAAACTATTTATTCCATGTGGTATACGAAACTCCGACATACCTTTCGGCACCGATATCACCACCTTGAAGTCTTTGCTCTTCATGGCTTGGGATTTGGTATAGGCGGACGTGGAACACACATCCAACTTCTTCGGGATAATCTGCATACGCACAGTTGCCTTCAAAAACGTGCAGTCACTTGTGTCCGCAAAGTTGCCTTGGGCATCCACAATCATGGCCACCAAAGTTCCCACTAATCCGGCGCCATTGGAGTTGGTCGAACAATTTGCTTTCATGCACGAAATTCACAACGAGCCCGGAAAAAAATTGACTGGTCACACCGCGAAGGAAAAAAGCCAAACGGGAAGGAAGCCGAACGGGACGGAAGCCGCCGGTGACTTGACTTCACTGGGCGTGACGCCGTCACCGACTACGCTTTACGCAGTAAATTTTTTTGGCTTACATCAAAGATTTGTACTTCCGAGTCACTTCCTGCTTTATAGGACAGAGCTTTTTTTGCTGGGTGGAGCGACGACGAGTCAATTCGCACTTCCTAGTCTCGCGATTCTGGCATGCAGCACACAAACGTTGCTCTTTATGCACAAGTTGTTCTTTTTTGGGCGGCTGCAGCCTTCCATTACTTAACTCCAGACCGACCTCGCCGGCGTTCCGTTCCTTTCCCTTGGTGGCTGGTTGTGCGCTCCACCTTCAGTTACGCAGCCTTCCACTGGGGATATAAGGCCGACGTACCTCAGTGAGAACGCTCGCACGCGGTACTGCAACTACAAAAGACGCCGACCCCCGAAGGCGTGGCCAACTGTTCAGTGCTGACGTCGTCATTCTTGGTCTTCTTCTTCCTTGGGCCTCTTCTCGTTTTCGGCGTCGATGAATTCAGCGTCAGGCCAACCCCCTGCGGTAACGGCGAGAGCAGCCAGTGGTTCTGAGAGAAGCGGTTACTCTTGCACGTTATACATGTGCACGATATAAGTGTGGGGTTATGCCACCACGAGTGATGATTCGGTTGTTGCCAGTAGTAGCCTGTTTGGTTGCTGCGGAGGATTGCAGTTACGTGTGCTCGATAGACGAGAGTGTGATTAAGTCGAAGGAGTGTTTGGACCAATGCCAATCAGGTAAGGCGTTGGCCGAGGGGTGCACTCAGGACTGTTACACCAGTAACGTATGTTTCGACAACCTGATATTCGGGTTTAATGCAAGTGACAGCAATGAAGGGTATGTGAGTCAGATTACGATCTCACCAGCGGAATGCCACATAGCATGCAATGACCATATCGAATGTTACGCCTGGCAATGGGACTCCACCGGCACCGGCAAGTGTGTTCTCAAAACCCAAGAACAGATTGCCAAGGCTGAGACGCAAGAACTCTGGCAAGGACAAGACCGTGTCGACATTGACACCAACTTTTGTAACAGTGAGAGCGCACGGGCTTGCTGTGATATATTCGAAGGCATGGAAAACCTCTCTATGAATGTGTGCAATGTGACAATAGCTACCGCTGCGTCTGGCACTCGGACCTCAACATCGCCGGACCCAAGGATTGCAAACGCCGACTTGATGCCTGCGAATTTGCACCACCCTCCTCCACCACCACCACCGAAGGAGACTCCACCACTGAGTCGACTACCACCACCACTCCGCTACCACCACCACTGAGTCGACTACCACCACCACTCCGACTACCACCACCACTCCGACGACCACCACTACTGAGCCGACTACCACCACCACCACTGAGCCGACTACCACCACCACTACTGAGCCGACTACCACCACCACTACTGAACCGACTACCACCACCACCACCACCACCGAGCCGACTACCTCCACCACTACTGAGCCAACCACCACCACTACTGAGCCGACTACGACCACCACTGAGCCGACCACCACGACTACTGAGGCCACTACGACCACCACGACCGAACCGACTACAACCACCACTACTGAGCCGACCACCACCACGACCACCGACATCACCACCGCGACCACGGAAAGCACCAAGGCTCCAACTCCGACTCCGACGCCAGCTCCGACTCCGACTCCCACGCCAACTCCGACTCCCACGCCTACTCCGACACCAGCACCGGGCACCACGACGACAGCGCCGTCGAAGAAGAAGGGGACCATCGTGGCGGCCGCAGCTGGCGGCGCTGCGGCGCTGGCGGTGGCCGCGCTGGTCGGGACGCGGGCGTTGCAGTCGCCTTCCGAGCTGGACGCGCAATTCAGCGGCGACGCGGCGGCCGAGGGCGAACAGCGGACGCGAGAGCAACATCAAATGCTCGACGAGGGGCAGTTTGCCGGCGATGAATAGAAAGCGGCCAGTAGACAACTTTACACACCACGCACGATCTATGGTCATCGTGTACGACCACGGTCTAAGACCGACCGCTATATACGGCCATAATCTAATGCCACGTATTAGGGTCCTTCGCCAGCACGACCCTACCAAGGGATCCGGTCCCTGCGGCCGGATGAGTAAAGGTTTAGCCAGTAGGATGTCCGACCACTGAGAGCCGGTGAAGTGTAGGTCCAATCACTTAAGGTCCGATAGCTAATGTTCCGATAAGTAAATGCGCTAAAGGTAATGAGAACAGCCTTAAAGGTAATGGGTACGGTGTTAAAGATAATGGGTACGGCCTTGATTGCATTGTATACTGCCCAAAACTGGATTGCTTGCACCCCGTAGCTACCCCCAATAGCACATGCAAGATAGCCCACCATGAAGCGTGCGGTTCTTCTTTGGTCAATAGGTAGGCTGAGGGTTTAAGACCACGGAACGGAGTGA